TAATGATTGCTGGTGATGATTGACTTGACAATTTGTCTTTAGGTTTCAATATATTTGGGTAGGACCTTGGCTGAATTTGAGAAGTATTAGCATTGCCTATATATGAATACTGCAACTGTGACTCAATGGCAAGGACATTTGCACTTGATGTTTCCTCTGCTTGGAAGCTCTTTCCTAGATATCCATGAGTGCTTCTCCCTCACCTCCCTTAAATCTTTATTCAAATGTCACTTTTCTCAGTGACATATTCCCTAACCACCCTGTTTAAATTCCATAGTTCTTATCACTACCTAACATATTATAGGCCAGGCACAGTGGTGCACTTTGGGAGGCTGAGGCAGGCAGATTACTTGAGCCCAGGAGTTCCAGACTAGGCTGGCCAACAAAGTAAAACCTCGTCTCCACTAAAAATACAAAAAGTAGCTGGGCGTGGTGGCGCAGACCTGTAGTCCCAGCTACTGGGGAGACTGAGGAAAAACATATTATATGCCAGGCGCGGTGGCTCACGCCTGAAATCCCAGCACTTTGGGAGGCCAAACCAGGTGGATCACTTGAGGTCAGGAGTTCGAGACCAGCCTGGCCTACATGGTGAAACCCTGTCTCTACTAAAAATACAAAATTAGCCCAGCATGATGGGACACACCTGTAATCTCAGCTACTCAGGCGGCTGAAGCAGGAGAATCACTTGAACCTGGGAGGCAGAAGTTGCAATGAGCTGAGATTACGCCATTGCACTCCAGCCTGGGCAACAGAGTGAGACCCGTCTCAAAAAAAACAAACAAACAAAAAAACAAATATATATATATATGTTTTTTTTTTTTTTTAATTTTACTTCTTTAGTTGCTTTCTGTGTCCCACTGCCTTTAGAATATAAGCTTCTTAAGGGCAGGGAATATTATCCATCTTGTTCATGGCCATATCATCAGGGCATAAAACAGTGTACTCAAGAAATATTTATTGACTATGGGACACTATGCTATGCAGGAATTTAAAATAATGAGCTAGATATAGATGGTTTGGCTCTGTGTCTGCACCCAAATCTCATCTCAGATTGTAATCCCCAGAATCCCCATGTGTTGAGGTAGGGAACTGGTGGGAGGTGATTGGATCATGGAGGTGGTTTCCTTCATGCTGTTCTCATGATAGTGAGTTCTCACGAGATCTGATGGTTCTATAAGTGTTTGACAGTTCCTCCTTCACACACTCTGTGTCACCTGCCTCCATTTAAGACGTGCCTGCTTCCCCTTCCGCCATGATTGTAAGCCTCCTGAGGTCTCCCCAGCCATGTGGAACTGTGAGTCAATTAAATTCTTTATAAATTACCCAGTCTTGGGTGTCTCTTTATAGCAATGTAAAAACGGACTAATACAATATATAAATGCTAAACTGTTAATCATGGTTTCCTCTCAGAGGGTAAGTGGGATTGGGAGAGGGGATAAACTTATTACCTAAGTTAAAAAAATTTTTTTCAATGTTGGGAGACACTTGACAAACTTAACAACTTAAGGAGAAAGGTTAGCACTGGAGTGGATTAATGTATAGTAGAAAGTGAGGATAACTGATGGAATGATTTAATGATAAAATGAGAAAATAACATGAGATGGTTCTTGGATAAGATGGTGCTTGGATAAGGAGTTTTGCAGTGGAAATGACACAGGGCAGGCGAGCCCCAAAGTGAATCTTAGCCTGCGAGAGTTTTTGGCTTTGCTCAGGAAGGAATTCAAGGGCAAGCCAGAGATAGAGGAAAGCAACTTTATTGAAGAGGCAGTGTTACAGCTCTATGACTGCTCCTTCCAAGCAAGGCTACCCCCATGCCATGGGCAGAGGAGCAGCCCAGGACAGTTTTGCAGTCATATTTATACCCACTTTCTTTTTTTTTTTTTTTTTTTTTTTTTTGAGAGAGAGAGAGAGCCTCACTCTGTCACCAGGCTGGAGTGCAGTGGTTCAAGCTCGGCTCACTGCAACCTCCACCTTCCAGGTTCAAGTGATTCTCCTGCCTCAGCCTCCCGAGTAGCTGGGATTATAGGCACCCGCCACCATGCCTGGCTAATTTTTGTATTTTAGTAGAGACAGGGTTTTGCCATGTTGGCCAGGCTGGTCTTGAACTCCTGACCTCAGGTGATCTGCCCACCTCAGCCTCCCAAAGTGCTGGGATTATGGCGCCCGGCCTATACCTACTTTTAATTGCATGCAGATTAAGGGGAGGTTTATGTAGAAATTTCTAGGGGAGGGGTAGTAATTTTTGTGTCATTGGGTCATTGCCATGGAAAAGAGTGGTGATGCCAGGGTGTTGCCATGGCAACAGTAAATTGACATGGCATACTGGTGGATGTGTCTGATTGAAAACCGCTTTCACCCTGGCCCCATTTCAGCTAGTCCTCAATCTGGTCCAGTGTCTTAGCCTTATCTCTGGAATTGAGTCCCGCCCCCTGCCTCAGAGAGAGCTGGTTGGAGTCCTCAGCTCATGGCTTCCATGATCCTTGTGAGGCAGATGGGGAGGTCAAGGCTAAGAGCAAGGGCTTGGGTAGTATGCTCAATTTCTGAGGGTTTAGAAAATATGTTATGGTCCTATTAACAAAATTACTTTATGTAATCCTTGCTCAGTTCCATGAGGTGTCATTATCTCTACTTTACAATATAATTCTACTCTACAATGTAAAAACAGAAGCACAGTGATTATACAATTTGTATATGACTACTGAGCTGATGAATGATGGAGCCATTTTAGAAAGTTCTAACCCAGGCCTCTCTGACTTCAATTTACCAACCTCATTTAGGCCTCATGTTCCTCCATAATGAAGTATAAATAGTCCAGTGGCCCCGTTTTCTAACACAAGGGTCCCACAGCAGAGTGGGATGGGCATGTCCAGGGTATGCATGATGATCCATTAGGGCATTGGAAGGCAATGTTAGATTTCTATTTATAGTTTTTAAATCTAAAAGAAGTTCAGCTTTGCTAGTATTTAATATGCAGATAGATGCTGGCATCCTTATTTGGTCTGGATGCCAGCTGGTTATGAGTCATTTCGATACTTGAGAGAGACACAGGAGTTCCACAGCACAGATGGAATGATAGTAGTGCTTCCCCATATTATATATTTTTTGTGCCTAAGGGATGACATCAATATGTTAACTTTTGTAGAAATAAGACTTTTACAAATAGCAGAATCTTTATAATACAGTAGTCTATGATGAAATGGTGATTGATGATGAAGATGTTTGACTTCACTCAAAGGTTTGCTTGGTCTTTCTTGTCAAGAGTATTAAAAATAGAATCTATAAATAACTTGCACTTTTCTTTGACAAAAAGACAAGCATTCAAACTGTGTTGCCTTTTTCGATGATACTAAGGTGGCTGTCAGTAGTATGCTATTTATAGATACTAATAAGTAATATTTTAAAATTCCATTTCTTTAAGGTAGGGTTGATATTTTCACAAGTGGGGAAACAACTGCTTTTGGGAAAGCTATTGCAAAATTTTTCAAAATATATATTTGGAAATGTGTATTTGGAAATGTTTCCATTTTGGTGTGACTTTTTTTGCTAAAAATTATATAAGTATGTAACTTATAGCAATGCTCATATATAAAAATATAGTGTTTTCTGATTAATCGCAAAGGCAGCTGACTATCATGGAAGATAAAAATTAGCTGAATTTCAGTAAAATCCTTCACAAATTGGTGAATGAAATTGAAAAACTAATTCCATTATTGAGTAAGCCCAGACAATAATTCATCCATTTAGAGTTCATATTTTTGTCAGGTCTTATTTCCATCAAAACCAAGTAATAAGCTAAACAGATCATAGAAACAAGCCTTTGAAATTATTATTATTATTATCATCATCATCATCATTGAGATTGAGTCTCACTCTGTTGTCCAGGCTGGAGTGCAGTTGTGCAATCTCAGCTCATTGCAACCTCCACCTCCCAGGTTCAAGCAATTCTCCTGCCTCAGCTTCATGAGTAGCTGGGATTACAGGCGCATGCCATCACACCCAGCTAATTTTTTGTATTTTTAGTAGAGATGGGGTTTCACCATGTTGCCCAGGCTGGTCTTGAGCTCCTAACCTCAAGTGATCCGCCTGCCTTGGTCTCCCAAATTGCTGGGATTATAGGCATGAACCACTGTGCCCGGCCTCAAATTATAATATTGTAATGTGCTAAACCACAATATCAGAAATAAAGCAGGGTCAATAAAGTTGCTCTTAAAAATAAATTAGTTACAGCAAAAAAAAAAAAAAAAAGGCTTTTTTTGGTTGGCAGGTGGCTCACGCCTGTAATCCCAGCACTTTGGGAAGCTGAGGCAGGCAGATCACCTGAGGTTAGGAGTTCAAGATCAACCTGGGCAACATGGTGAAACCCCCGTCTGTACTAAAAATACAAAAAGGAGTTGGGCATCGTGGCACACACCTGTAATCCCAGTTACTCAGGGGGCTGAAGCAGGAGAATTGCTTGAATCTGTTAGACAGAGGTTACAGTGAGTTGAGACCATGCCACTGCACTCCAGCCTGGGCAACAGAATGAGACTCTGTCTCAAAAAAAGAGGGTTTTTTTTTGTACAGATAATAAACATAATTTTTATATGCATACATAAATGTGTATATTTTAAGTAAAGAAACAGGTAACATAAATATATGTATCAACATAGAAATAAAAATTAGAATATGGATGATTTTACATACAATGTTGTAGCACTGTCTGCCAGTCTCTGGTGGTGGTTCTTCACGCAGGCAAGAAGGAAACATATATGTGTGTGTGTGTGTGTGTGTGTGTATGTTTCACACATAAATCTATATATTCACACACACAAATATATATACTATACAATTACATATATGTGTATATAAAATAATATACATAAATATAAATATATGTATAAAATATAGCCAGGCAGGGTGGCTGGCACCTGTAATACCAGCTACTCAGGAGGCTGAGATGGAAGAATCACTTGAGGCCAGGAGTTCTGCAACAGCCTGAGCAACATAGCAAGACTCTGTCTCTTAAAAAATAGATAAGTAAATAAAATAAACATAATGCAACAAACACACACACCAACACACATGCAGATGCACTTACATTTATACTAGGGGCTCTCTTGTCACATACTGGCAGGGAAGGGGAACAAAATGGCCATAGGAGTCTTTCTCTGTCAGTTCCTTGTGACCCCACGCTGCTAGCAAACACGAGGCCACCGCCTTTTAACCAGAACCAGCCCAGGTGGCATCACCCTCCAGTGGGAAAGCGGTTCACTTCTCTCAGATCTGATAGTCAGTACAGGTGGTCTTCTTTGGAACACTTCAGGTGGGGTCCATACAATGGTGTCCCAGTTTGGGTGGGTAGAGAAGAGGCTTTCTGTACAGAGGAAGGAAGGCTAGGTCTGAGCCCTCAGAATGTACTGGGGGCAGAGTGAGTGTGGGTGGGGTAAAATGGTACCAGGCTGGAGAGACAGTCAGGCCAGGGTTTGACTGCCCTGACAGCCACTGGAGGATTTTGGGGGCCAGGAAAATGAACCTCTGACACTGAAGGCTACACAGTCCTTAGTAAACCTGTTCTGGCCAGTTCCAGCTGGATCTAGAGGACTCTCCAGGGCTTCAGCAGGGCCAAAGAATACCTGGATTACAGAAACCTGAGGAGATAGGTGCCTGAGGCCTCTTCCACAAGTTTGAGAAGCACAGAAAACAGGTATTTGGCTTGACAAACACCTATGGACTTCAAAGTAGGTGTCAGACAAAGAAAACTAGTTAGAGGCAGACCACTGGGCCCTGCCACCCCTAGTCAATGGATGACACCTGTTCCCAAAGTAGGGCCTGGCTTGTAGGGCAAGATAGGGCCATCACAAACAAAATGTTATATTTTAAAATGCTGTGTTTATTTCGGCATCACCATCATTTTGTCCTTTAACTTTAAAACATTTTTGTCATTTTAAAAGGTATACAACATATTAGGACTGTATTACATGCTTCTAATGCATGAATAACTTAGGATGCATGTTGAAAAATATTTAAAGGAAGGTTTGTGATTCAATAATGTAGAGATCATTATTCAAATGCAGGGTTTCTCAGCCTGGGCACTATGTACACTTTGGGCTGGAGACTCTTTTCTTGTGAGGAGTTTTCCAGTGCATTGTAAGATATTTAGTAGCATCTTAGGCCTCAACCCACTAGATGCCAGTAGCAGCACCCCCTCCTCTACAGTTTTGACAACCAAAAATGTCTCCAGACACTGACAAATGTTCCCTTAGGTTAGGAATGCCAGATTTAACAAAATGAAAAAGTGAAAACAAAAAATCAGAACACATTTATAAAAAATTCTTTTTTTTTTTAATTGAGACTGAGTCTCACCCTCTATTACCCAGGCTAGAGTGCAGTGGCGTGATCGCAGCTCACTGCAACCTCCGCCTCCTGGGTTTTAAGCAATTCTCTCTGTCTCAGCCTCCCAAGTAGTTGGGATTATAGGTGCTCACCACCACACCGGGCTAATTTTTGTATTTTTAGTAGAGACGGGTTTTTCCCATGTTGGCCGGGCTGGTCTTGAACTCCTGACCTCAGGTGATCCACCTGCCCTGGCCTCCCAAAGTGCTGGGATTACAGGTGTGAACCACCGCACCTGGCCAAAAACTTCTTTATTCCAATGTGACCGGTTACTTTATGCCTTATCTGACAACCTTAAAGGAGAGGGGAAGAGGGGCAACATCCTTCCCCAATTGAGAAGCATCATTCTTTTTTCTTTTCTTTTCGGTTTTTTTTTTTTTTTTTTTTTTGAGACAGAGTCATGCTCTGTCGCCCAGGCTGGAGTGCAGTGGCACAATCTTGGCTCACTGCAACCTCAGCCTCCCGGGTGCAAGTGATTTTCCTGCCTCAGCCTCCTGAGTAGCTGGGATTAAAGGTGTGTGCCACCACACCCAGCTAATTTTTGTATTTTTAGTAGAGATGTGGTTTTACCACGTTGGCGAGGCTGGTCTCGAACTCCTGACCTCAAGTGATCCACCCACCTCAGCCTCCCAAAGTGCTAGGATTACAGGCATAAGCCACCGCACCCAGCCTCTTTTTTCTTTTTTTAAAGCAATGAAGTCTCACTACGTTGCCCAGGTTGAAATGCAATGACTATTCACAGGTGTGGTTATAATGCATTGCAGTCTTGAACTCCTGGGCTCACACAGTCCTCCTGCCTCAACCTCCCTAGTAGCTGGAGCTACAGGTGTGTACCACATCTGGCTCAAGAACTGCCATCTGAATGAATTATTATGCCTATAATATTCCCTACAACATTACTCCTCTCCCAGCCTCATCCTACGTTCCCTTCCTTCCCCTTCCAAATTCTTCCACTGTGTTCTCTGGAACTAATGATCCATAACCTGCAAAAGTCCCTGCCATTCTCAAGCATTTCCCCCAATTTCTTATCTTTATTAAAATCTGGTGCTCTCTTAAAGATATTTTCCCTTTTGCTCACCTAAATGGTAGCTTTTTGTGCTCTCAATTTGCACATACCTCAAAGATGAGAAGTGTAAGGAAATTTGGAATAAGCAAAAATGTAACTGGTATTTCCAGTGATAAACTATACATTCTTTAGAGCACACCTTTCCAAGGCACCTGATTCTACCCTTTTATTGCTTGTGAGGTATTGTACAACTCTGTAAATTGTAAATAACTGACAGCAGTGCAAGATAATTCTTAACTTTAGACATGCAAGTAAATTCTGTCCAGTGGCAGTTGAATTGACTTGCCTCTCCTACAGTGGGATGAAGCCAGTTTTACCTACATTTTCCAGTTCATTTCCGTATGCCTGATCTATCAATGTGGATTCACCTTGGACATTTAACTGGTTCTCTCATTAATAATGAGTTAACTAAAACTTTTAACACATTTCATTTTATATCTTAATGGGAGTCATAATTTTACCTTAAAAAAAGTTTTTCCTTTAACAGTAGTGGGGTTGTTATTCATTTGCTTCCCATTCCTATTTCCAGACTACTGTTCTCTCTGTACTCTAAAAGGAAAAGCCAACTTCTCTGAGGTCTGTGCCACTCACCTGCCCCTCTCTCTTCCTCATCTCATTGCTTTCATCTACTGCCCTTCCTGTAACTCCCTGCTCAGTCAGGCAAAGACGGCGGCCTATGATTCCACTCCACCACAAGCCCTGCCATTATCCTGGGTGACTTCAACAATCAAAAGGATGATCCATCCACCAAGGCCCTTGAGGCTCATTCCCTTGATCTCCTCAACATCCTTCTTATTAACTCCACCTGAGCAGCCCACGCCTTTTCATCATCCTTGGACCTTGTCATCATCTGTAACCATGCCACTTCCAGAATCTCTAATTCAAGCATCTTCTTTGACCACAAACTCCTCTCCCTCCAACTTGTCTGTGATGGGGTTCAGGACGCACTGCCCCAAAATATGGCACCATGGCATATTGAATATTTTAAGCTGAAGGAGTTTGAGAAAATGGCAGAAGCAGGAAAGTCACTCTCACTCCCCTACTACCACTTCTCCCCATGAGGCAAGTAGGCCTTAAAACCTAGAAAGGGGCCAGGCACAGTGGCTTACGCCTGTAATCCCAGCACTTTGGGAGGCCAAGGCGGGTGGATCATGAGGTAAGGAGATCAAGACCATCCTGGCTAACACGGTGAAGCCCCGTCTCTACTAAAAATACAAAAAAATTAGCGGGGCGTGCTGGTAGGTGCCTGTAGTCCCAGCTACTCGGGAGGCTGTGGCAGGAGAATGGCATGAACCCGGGAGGTGGAGCTTGCAGTGAGCTGAGATCACGCCACTGCACTCTAGCCTGGGTGACAGAGCTAGACTCCGTCTCAAAAATAAAAATAAAAATAAAAACCTAGAAAGGATTTTCTGACCATCCCTCAAGGCAGGTCATAAGATCTTCATTGAAAGGTACCCTAACCTGGAGGAAAGGAGCATTTTTATCTCCAAAGATACAGGGTCTGAGAGAAGAATCTGAACAAACAGGCCTTTCTAAGTCCTGTTCTAGTTTATTACCATTAAATAATACTTCCTTTTTCCAATTATATTTCTCTGTGACTATTGTTCATCAAATTTAGCATAAAAATACACCAGTTTAGCCGGGCATGGTGGCTCACACCTATAATCCCAGCACTTTGGGAGGCCGGGGCGGGCGGATCACGAGGTCAGGAGATCGAGACCATCCTGGCTAACACGGTGAAACCCTGTCTCTACTAAAAATACAGAAAATTAGCTGGGCGTGGTGGTGTGTGCCTGTAGTCCCAGCTACTCGGGAGGCTGAGGCGAATGGCCTAGGCGAGCTCGTGGCAGGCACTGCACCTGGGCGACAAAGCGAGACTCCATCTCAAAAAAAAAAAACAACAACAAAACAAAACAAAACAATACACCAGTTTAACTGTCTTCATTTCCTTGTGTTTTTCTCTTGCTAATCTGTCTTTTGTTATAGGAGCCTCAGCCATGAACCTAGGATGGGTGAGGGAAATACATTTTTTCCTTCCCTACATTTGTTAACTACTCCTAAAACTTCCTTTGACCTCATTGGGACCCTCATTCATTGACCTTCATCAGTTCTTTCTATTCCTTTCTTATTTTCTCCCCTGATCTAGCTTAGATTCTGTGGTCTATAATTTCACTATTTTGCCAAGACCCTAAATTCTATTGTTCCTCAATTGTTTTTCCATTTAATCCACCTGGAAACTCCCAAACTCTAATGAACCTAATTATCTGCTTTCTATATGACCCTAGTTTTGCGCACTGTTCTAAATCATACATAGAACAGGGCAGATTGGTTCCAGGGAAACTCCAAATGAGCCCTTAAATCACCCAAGCTGGGTCACCTCACTCCTCCAGTTTTCACTGTTTATTCAAACCTTCCTTCTCTCACCAACTGTGGTTCCCCCTTCTCACCCCACACCCTCAATAGAGTACCTTGCCTTCCTTCTTCACAGACAAAATAGAAACCATCACATGGCAGGCCTCATGCTCTTAATACCTTACCATTACCTGCCCCATCCTGTCCTCCTTCCCTCCTGTTTTTTGTTTCATTTTTTGTTTTGAGATGGAGTCTCACTGTCACCGAGGCTGGAGGGCAATGGTGCCATCTCGGCTCACTGCAATCTCTGCCTCCCAGGTTCAAGTGATTTTCCTGCCTCAGCCTCTTCAGTAGCTGGGACTACAGGCACCTGCCACCACACCCAGCTAATTTTTTGTGTTTTTAGTAGAGGCAGGGTTTCCTCATGTTGCCCAGGCTGATTTTGAACTCCTGACCTCAAGTGATCCACCTGCCTTGGCCTCCCAAAGTGCTGGGATTACAGGCCTGAGCCACCACGCCCGGCTCCCATGTTCTTAATGCCTTTACCTGAGTCATTCTGTCCTCCTTCCCTCCTGTTTTAATGGGGGAGCTGCCCTTCCTCCTAACTGGGGCCAAATTATTTTCCTGTGCTTCAGATCCCATCTTCTTTGTCTTCTCAGAACTCCTCCCTGTAGATGACAGTCATCCTTCAGTATCTGTGGGGGACCAATTCCAAGACCCCCTCAAATAAGTCCCTTATATAGCATGGCATGGTATTTGTATATTATGTACACACATCTCCCTACATACTTTAAATCATTTTTAGATTATTTATAATAGCTAATATAATAAAAATGCTATGTAAATAGTTGTAATACTGTGTTTTTTAGGGAATAATGACAAGAAAAAATACTTTGTACATGTTCAGTACAGATAAAAGCATCCTTTTTTTTTTCTTTCAAGTATTTTTGATCCACGGTTGATTAAATACACAAATGTGGAACCCATGGATATGGAGGGCCAAGTATATATGATTTGGTTTCATCTATGTATTTTCAACTTTTCCCTCTGAATGAGGTCCTTCTCAATGGTTTTAAAATAGTCTCATTTTCTTCTATTAAACAAAACCCTTCTTGGATCCTACACCCCCTTCAATTTCCTATCCTTCTACTCACTGTTCAGCCAACTCTCCCTGGGGGTCCTGCCCTATCACACTCCTGAAGGAGCTTTGGTTGATATCACTGGTATCTCACTGGTGAGATTTTTGTATAACAAATTCAATATTTTTCAGTCATCTTATTTAACTTGTCAGCAACAATTGATACACTCAACCATTCCCTCTTTCTTGAAATGCTCATTTGTCCCAGCTTCTGGGACACAAGGCTCTCCCAGTTTTTTCTTATACTTCTGGTCACTCCTTCTGACTCCTTGGTAAGTTATCTTCCTATACCCAAGCATCAACCCTAAGCATCCCTGAAAGCTCAGTCCTAGGCCCTCTTTTTTTTTTTCACTTGAGATTTTCCCTGAATATTCTCATCCATGCCTGAGGCCTCACCAACCACCTCTCTATCAACAACTGAAATGTAAGTCTCAATCTTGATTGAGACTTTATATTTGATTGAGAATTTATATTTATATTTTCTATACCCATAAAATATAAATTTACCTATGTACAAATTTATCTCAGTACCATAGTCTTCCTACTTCTACTTGGTCATATTTTACTTTAGAGAGGGACATTGCCCAATTTTATTATTTTAGTAGTGTTTAACACACAGAAGATGCTCAATAAATATTATATATCCATGGGACCATATCTGGAAAAGAAATCTTTGGTAAATGACTACATACCTGGTACAATAACCAATACTTTTTTTAACAGTTCCTTGTGCTGTTCACCAGGGGTTATATGTGGAGTCCTAAAATTAAAAATAAATAAAAATAGCTGGGCACAGTGTATGCTCCTGCAGTCCTAGCTTCTTGGGAGGCTGAGGCAGGAGGATTGCTTGGAGCCCAGGAGTTCAAGGTTGTAGTGCATGACCATCATGCCTGTGAATAGCAAGTGTACTCTCTAACCTGGGCAACATAGTGAGATCCCATCTCTAAAATAAAACAAATACAATTTTTAAAAGCTGGCTCATGATGATTTTGACAAGAAAACTCCAAATATAACAAATCCAGATGGTTGGCATAGAATAGTATAAGTAAATATTGAATAAGCATCAAATGTGTAATCCTGATGGAGAATTTCTGTCCACTTTCACTCCAAAAAGATAAGTAGATTTCTTCATTCATCATGAAGAAACATGCATGACAAACGGAAACCAAATGTTTGCAAAGTAAGTTGGAATGTGATTAGACAATTCTAGTAATTAATAACTTTCTGACCTTAATAACTGAATCCAACTACTTCACAGCTTGGAAATGTACTTTAAGACTTGTGAAAAATGCCTACTTTAAAAACTAATTAGAAATCATCAACAGAGGAAATGTGAGAAGTTTACAAACAAGAAAATCAATACACTCTTAAATAACCAAAGGGCAAAGGAAAAAAAAATCACAAGGAAGATTAGCAAATACTTTGAGATGAGTGAAAACAAACACATAATATATAAAAACTATTTGGATGCAGTTAAAACAGTGCTTATGAAGAAATTAATGGCCATGAACACCTATTTTTTACATTTTTAATTTTTGTGGGTACACAGTAGGTATATATATATTTACAAGGTACATGAGATGTTTTTGATACAGGCATGCAATGTGAAATAATCACATAATGGAGAATGGGGTATCCATCCCCTTAACCATTTATTCTTTGTGTTATAAACAATGTAATTTTTGTATTAACTCTTTTAGTATTTTATTTTATCTTATTTTATCTTATCTTATTTTATTTTATTTTGATAGAGTCTCACTCTATAACACAGCTGGAGTGCAGTGGCGTGATCTTGGCTCACTGCAACTTAAACCTCCTGGGTTCAAGCAGTTCTCCTGCTTCACCCTCCTAGGTAGCTGGGATTACAGTCATGCGCCACCACGTCCAGCTAATTTTTATTTTTTGTTTGTTTTTGAGACCGAGTCTCACTCTGCTGTCCAGGCTGGAGTGCAGTGGCGTGCGTGATCTTGGCTCACTGCAACCTCTGCCTCCTGGGTTCAAGTGAACCCATCCTTGCATCCCAGGGATAAATCCCACTTGGTCATGATGAATGATCTTCCTAATGTATTGTTGAATTCAGTTTGCTAGTATTTTGTTGAGAATTTTTGCATCAATATTCATCAGTGATACTGCTCTATAGTTTTCCTTTTTTAATGTGTCTTTGTCTGGTGTTGGTATCAGGGCAATACTGGCCCTGTAGAATGAATTTGGAAGTATTCCCTCCTCCTCTATTTTTTGGAATAGTTTAAGTGGGATTGGTAATAGTTCTTCTTGAAATGTTTGGTAGAATTCAGCAGTGAAGCCATTGGGTCCTGGGCTTTTCTTTATTGGGATACTTTTTATTATGACTTTAATCCCATTACTTGTTATTGGTCTGTTTAGGTTTTGGATTTCATCATGGTTCAGACTTGGTAGGTTGTGTGTGTATAGGAATCTGTCCATTTCTTCTAGATTTTCCAATTTATTGGCATATAGTTGCTCATAGTAGCCATTAATGATCCTTTGAATTTCTGCAGCATCATTTGTAATGTCTCCTTTTTCATTTTTGAATTTATATCTTGTCTCTTTTTTTCTTGGTGTGGGTAAAGGTTTGTCAATTTTGTTCAACTTTTCAAAAAACCAATTCTTTTTGTTTCATTATCTTTTGAAATGTTTTCTTCCATTCAATTTCATTTATTTCTGCTCTGATTTTTATTATTTTTCTTCTACTAATTTTGGGTTTGGTTTGCTCTTGCCTTTCTAGTTCTTTAAGATGCATCGTTAGATTGTTTAAGTTTATCCTCTTCTTTGATGTAGGAACTTATAGCTACTAACTTCCCTCTTAGTACTGTTTTTACTGTATCCCATAGGTTTTGGTATGTTGTGTTTCCATTATCGTTTGTTTCAAGAATTTTTTATTTTTTATTTTTTTGAGACAGGGTCTCACTCCAATACCCAGGCTAGAGTGTAGTGGCTTGATCTTGGCTCACTGCAACCTCCGCCTCCCAGGTTCAAGCAATTCTCCTGCCTCAGCCTCCCGAGTAGCTGGGATTACAGGTGCCTGCCACCATGCCTGGCTAATTTTTGTATTTTTAGTAGAGATTGGTTTTCACTATGTTGGCCAGGCTGATCTCGAACTTCTTACCTCAAGTGATCTGCTTGCTTTGGCCTCTCAAAATGCTGGGATTACAGGCCTGAACCACCATGCCCAACCCAGTTTCAAGAACTTTTTAAATTTCCTTCTTAATTTCCTCATTGACCCACAGTAATTTGGGAGCATGTTGTTTAATTTCTATGTATTTGTGTAGTTTCCAAAATTCTTCTTGTTACTAATTTCTGGTTTTATTCCAATGTGGTCAGGGAAGATGTTTGATCTTATTTCAGTTTTTCTGAATGTTTTAAGACTTGTTTTGTGATCTAACATATGGTCTATCTTTAAGAATAATACATGTGCTAAGGAAAAGAATATGTATTCTGAATATGTGGGATGAAATGTTCTGTAAATATCTATTAGATTTGGTTTATAGTACAGATTAAGTCCAATATTTCTCTGTTGATGTTCTGTCTGGAAGATGTGTCCAAAGCCAAAAGTGGGGTGTTGAAGTCTCCAGTTATTATTGTATTGGGGCTTATCTCTCTCTTTAGCTCTAATAATATTTATGTATATATCTGGGCACTCCAGTGTTGGGTTCATCTATATTTAAATTTGTTATATCCTCAAGCTGAATCAATCCCTTTGTCATTATATAGTGACCTTCTTTGTCTCTTCTTATAGTTTTTGTCTTGAAATCTATTTTGCCTGAGATAAGTTTGGCTACTCCTGCTGTTTTCTGGTTTCTATTGGCATGGAATATCTTTTTCCATCCCCTTAGTGTATCTTTATAGGTGAAGTGTGTTTCTTGTAGGCAACAGAACAATGGGTCTTGTTTTTTCATCCATTCAGCCACTCTGTGTCTTTTGATTGGAAAGTTTACTCCATTTACATTCAAAGTTGTCATTGATGAGTAAGGAAATACTCCTGCCATTTTGGTATTTGCTTTCTAGTTGTTTTTATTTTTTGTGTGTATGCACTGCATATTTTTTGGTTTGAGGTTACCATGAGACTTGCAAATACTATCTTATAACCCATTATTTTAACATGATAACAACTTAACACTGTTTGCATAAGCAAACAAGCAAAAAGAAAACTACTGAAAATTCTATGCCTTAACTTCATCCCCCTGTTTTTTAGCTTTTTGTTGTTTCTATTTATATCTTATTATACTATGAATGTCTCAAAAAGTTATTGTAGTTATTATTTTTATTGGTTCATTGTTTAATCTTTGTACTTAGGATAAGGGTAGTTTATACAACACAGTTACAGTGTTAAAATACTCTGTATTTTTCTGTGTACTTACCATTACTGGTGAGTTTTCTACCTTCAGGTGATTACTTGTTGCTAATTATCATCCTTTTCTCTCTGTGTTAAGTAACTCCTTTAGAATTTCTTTGGTTTTTATTTTTGTTTGTTTGTTTGTTTGAGACTGAATCTTGCTCTATCGCCCAGGCTGGAATGCAGTGGCATGATCTCAGCTCACTGCAACCTCCATCTCCTGGGTTCAATCAATTCTCCTACCTCAGCCTCCTGAATACCTGGGATTACAGGTGCCTGCCATCATGCCCAGCTAATTTTTGCAATTTTAGTAGAAATGGGGTTTCACCACGTTGGCCAGGCTGGTCTCCAACTCCTGACCTCAGGCAATCTGCCCACCTTGGCCTCCCAAAGTGCTGGGATTACAGGATGAGCCACCGCACCCAGCCCCCTTTAGCATTTCTTGTACGATAGGTCTGGTGTTGATGAAATCCCTCAGCTTTTGTTTGCCTGGGAAAGTATTTCTCCTTCATGTTTGAAGGATATTTTCCATGGTTATACCACTCTAGGATAAACATAATATTCCAATTTAAGTAATTAGAGAAAGAAGACTAAAACCAAAGCAAGCAGGAGGAAGGAAATAGTGAAGGCCAGAGCAGAAACAAATGAAATAGAGAAAAACAATAGAATCAATAAACCAAAAGTAAGTTCTTTCAAAATATCTACAAAATTGACAAACCTTTAGCCAGACTGACCAAGAAAAGACAGAAGACTCAAATTACTAAAATTAAGAATAAAAGAGGTGACACCACCACTAACCTTACAGAAATAAAAGGAATTATAAGGGAACACTGTGAACATGATAACAAATTAGATAATCTGGATAAAACGGACAAATTCCTAGAAACACACGAACTACCAAAATAGAATAAAAAGAAATAAAAAATCTGAACAGAAGTATAACAAGAGATTGAATCAACAGTCAAAAACTTTCCCACAAACAAAAGCCCAGGGCAGATAGTTTCCTTTGTGAATTTTACCACATGTTTAAAAAAGAATTAACATTAATCCTTCACGAACTCATGCAAAAAATAGAGGATGGACTTCCCAACTCATTCTATGAGGCCAGTATTACCCTAATACCAAAACCACACAAAGACATCACAAGAAACAGACACTATAGACCAAAATTCCTTATAAATATAGTCAAAGTCCTCAACAAAATACTAGCAAAGTGAATCCAGCAACATACAAAAAGGATTATACACCATGATCAAATAGAGTTATTTCAGGAATGAAAAATTAATATATGAAAATCAATCCACATAATATACTATATTAATAGAATAAAGGATAAAACCATATGATAATTTCATTTCAATACACAAAAACACTTGACAAAATTCAACACCTTTGCATGATAAAAAAAATTCTATAGGGATTGAAGAAAACTTCTGCAACCTAATAAATGGTATCTATGTAAAATCAAAAGCTAA